GAAGGTAAGTCTCCAACGTTGGCTGGCCTCATTCCCACGATATAGCGCCAGATTCATTCGTGGTACTTCCATCGATAGGATGAGCAAAATCGAATGAATCTGGCGCTATATCGTGGGAATATACACTGCCACACTTGTTTTTTTTTTTGTTTTTTTTTTTGTGTGTGTGTGAGAGAGAGAGAGGGGAGGAAGAGGACGACAACGACAACGACGCGCGCGCGCGCGAGAGAGAGAGAGAGAGAGAGAGAGACGCAGTGAACTGCCCCCCCTCCGATTCGAAAAAAAAAAAAAAGWAACCAAGTTCACCAACATATTTCGGCCACTTCCGGACGGTCTCGAAAGGGCCGAAAAAATAAGGGGCAATTTTTCTTTGGCGGCCCAAGGCGTGAAAAAACGCCCTGGGCCGCCCAAAAAAAATTTTGCCGTTGGCCTGGGGGGCCTCCATCCAGACCGGTTACCGGAATGTGGTACCGGATCCCGGATCCCGGAGGCTCCGGATCCCTTTCCGGGGGTCCGGATCGTAGCCATGGCTTAGAGGCTTACTTTGGATTTTTCCCTTAAGGGTATGGAAAGCTGCTGAGTACAGATCCTGGCTTGTCACATGCAAGGCACTCAATGCTACAGTGTCTGCCATGGGGTCAGATCAACTATGGTGATTGCGTCAGAGAGGACAAGGGGTGCTGTTTGAGCAGGTGAGAAACTAAGTGGCCTGTTCTACTAGGAGGGGGTGGGAAAGGAGGGATGGGAGAACTTCAGCTTTGTGGGGCCATACTCTAGGGGGTATTGTATGTCGCTGAGGGAGCGGGGGTGTCCGTTAGGGGGCTGTTCTGAACTGAGGCCGATGAGGAGAAGGGGGCTCCTCTGGGCAGAGGCAGTGTAGGGACAGGGGGTAGTTTTTTTGAGGGGAGGAAGTAGTTCTGGGGGTTGTCCTGAGTCCTAGTGTGAATTGAGTTCTTGTCCTTCATTGGATCTACCATAAGGAGAACTGATTCTGAATAACATGGGGCCGATCAGTTCGACAATGCAACGTCAACATTGTTAAGGCCATCGCCCTTTTTTTTCAAAAAAAAAAATAAAACCTGTTTGAAATGCATAATCGTGGCGGATCGATAGATAGAGAACGAGGGAAGTGTTGGACAATCTGCTGAAAGAACTGGAAAGCTGGGACAGTAAACCGCAGTCCGCCTATCCCAGGCTGCAGACCGCAAGGGAGCATCTACAAACCTACTTAGATGACCAGGCCGAGGCATGGTGTATCCAGGCACATGTACGGAAGCAAGACAAGGACGGCACGATGGCGAAAGCCTTCTTTAAGAAGGCCTAAGCCAGGGCTAGGCAAGCAGCGATATCTTCACTTCCACACCCTTTTGATCAGTCGCTCCCCAACGCCCGTAATGCATACTCCATTGTGGACTACGCCGTGCATTATTACCAAAAGCTCTACGCTTCTGAATCAGCGCAATGTGGGGCAGAAAGGTTGGCAGATGCAAGGCACTCAATGCTACAGTGTCTGCCATGGGGTCAGATCAGCTATGGCGCTTGTGTCAGAGAGTTGTATGCATGGTTGGGAACAACGTGTCTTACTGGTGAAGGGGGCTAGCCAGTAGGACGAAATAGGGCACAACAGCAGTGGAGATGGTGGCTCCGTTGTGGTAAGTCTTGCCGGACTGGGTTAGGGATAGATGGATGTTTCCAGTGGAGGATCACAATCAGCGCATGAGGGAGTTGGAGGTCTTGGAACTGCAGCTATGGTGGTGATAGGCGGTTCGCGCGATCTTCTGCTGACTCCGTTAGACCCATAGGTTGGCGAATGGACGAGGCCAGAACGACGCTGGTCGGTGCTGGGGCTTGGTTGCGCTGCCCTATAACCTGAGTTATGTGGGGGTATGAGGCCTGGTAGAGAGGTCTGGGGAGTTGTCGAGGGTGGAAGGCACTCCAGTGTCCATTGCCGAGCTGGTACATAGAAGAGGCTGGCTGGAGCCAGGGTGGGTTGCTCTGCCCTGTAACCTAGTGTGGGGGATTGTTCTGGAGTGGGTCGCGCCACTCTGTAGCAGTGGGGGTGTGAGGCCTGGTAGAGACTAGGTATCGAGGATATGACGGCTGAGGCAGGCTGAGGTGGGGCTGTTAAATCACACTTAGTTTGTTCTCAGGGCAAAAACTCTCAGGGGAAAATGATTGAGGTTCATAGTTCCTTCGAATTGTAGCCAGAAAAGAGACTTCTCATTTTTCTTCTAAACTTTAGCCTATTTCATGAGGCCCTTTGTTGAATAGGCTAGTAATTGCTCATGACCCTTAGAAAAGGTGTAATTGCTGTTCTCAGCTGAAGCCGGGTAATGGCCCTGGTATCTCATTTTGTTCTGTATACGTTCTCAAATATGGTTTCAATGGGACGCTGGTATCCCATTATGTTCCGACACGCTCCCCACGAATAGATTGGAGCATTGTTCCATAAGAAAAAAAGAGGAAAAAAATGCTGTCAACAGCCTGACGCGAACTGCTGGACACCCCACTATCCACAGACAAGCTGCTCAACGCCTTAAGAGGAATGGAAGACGAAAAGACCGCTTGACATGACCTTCTCCAGTCCTGTAAGTGGGACGCTGGACCCGCTTTCCAGCAGCTGCCGCTCCCCACCATTAGATTGGAGCCATCTATCATTCGGGGCCTACTATTGGGGAATGCTCGTATGACTTCCAACAGTAGTCTCCCGCAGATTTAAAAAAAAAAAAAAAAAAAAAAAAAAAAACCACCCCCAGCCTGGACTCCTTCCCCAAGGCGTTCTGGTTACAAACTGGGGAATCTTCCAGTTTCCACATTGCTGTACAAAAAAGGGGACAAAACAGACATCAGGAATTATAGACCGATTACACTCCTCCCCTTACTCTACAAAATGGTGTCTAAAGCATTCACAAATCGGCTGCTGCAGCACATGAACCACCTGATCTTTCAAGATCAGTCAGGGTTTATGCCCCAGCGAAACATCCAGGACAATGTGCTTCTAGTAAATGAGACTATCGAGTACGCCAGGTAGCACCAAAAGGAAGCCGCGGTTCTGTGCATAGATTTCGAGACAGCCTACGACCACATGGACTGGAACTTCATGGACGCCTGCCTGCAGAAAATGAACTTTGGCGACTCCTTCAGAGCATGGGTGTCCACTATGCACAGGTCCGGGGCAACGGACATCATGGTTAACGGACACCTTTCTCCGCTGTTCGACCGCTGAGCGCCATATAGGGGAGCGGCATAGTTTGCTTTGTTTGTTGACATGGCTAAAGAGTTATCACCTTGTATATTATTTTTAGATGATGCTGATTTTCTTCATAAAAACATCTATAGATTTTCTCAAAATAGAATTAGAACAGAAAACATTCTACATAGCTATGAATTTAACAGCAATCATGAAAATACATTCAATGAAATTCAAAATAGGCATGATAATGAATGTCTCTTTTTTGATACATTTTATTTTTTTTGTATGAACTGATTTATGCATATTGATTGATTCGAACTACCTATGTGGCTGAAGGCCTCTACAGTCTAATCACAACGACGCAATTATCAGGGGCGCGCTCTACCAGCTGAGCTAATAGCCCACCATTTTTAGAGATTAGGCCCCTCACCTTATTCGTTCTGAATTATGATTTTGAGAAATTATGACTTCATGGTGCAGGCGAGAAGAGGGCTTACATTTTCAAGTGTTTTCATTGCTTTGCTCTTCTTTTGTGTACATCTTGATGCAGTCTGCTTTCTGCTTGAGTACATGTATCTCTCTTTCAATGGGATGATGCAACCTGGTTTCTGTCATTGCTCATTTTCCTTGCATTGGGGTTGAGCACAAACACACAGCAGCAAATCCTCCCCCCGCAAAAAAAAAAGGATGAAACACACAACAGCTTCTAAGTTTTTATCCAAGGCCCGACGGATTACCTCTCGTCCCACCTCCCAGAAGTTGCACACACATCATGATCTGGCCTGATAGGAGACTGACCGGGCGAAACGCAGTGTCAAGGCGTCGGGTATTTACCCCTGAATTTCGGGATTGTTATTCATGTGAATCATGTCTATTTTTAATGTGAAACTACATGCGCTCAGATTTCCGTGCGTTTTTTTAGTGTCTATTTTTAATGCAAAATTAGGTGTGATGCTATAATAAAATTAATTTTGTGAAAATATATGACCATTGCATAGAAGACAACTTTGACTATAAAAGGTCAACAATATCATCATTGAGATAGCTCCTCTTTTTTTTCAAGTTCGCTAACTTCTGCGTCTCTCTCTCTCTCTCTGTGTGTGTGTGTGTGTGTGTGTGTGTGTGTGTGTGTGTGGCAGGAGATTGAGAAAAAAAAGATGCGGCTGCAATCAATACAAAGCGTGTTAAAAGATCCTGTGAGCAATGAGCTGGACATCTCCGCATTACAGGTGAATGGAACTGAAGGGAAAAACTGTAAAATTGTTTACTAAATTATGATTATGATAGCAGGATGCTGCTGTTTCTTCTTCTTCTTCTTCTTTCCTTTTCTTTTTTTTTTTTTTTTTTTTTTTTTGGTATGCTCTTCTTCATCATCATCATCATCATCACCGTCGTCGTCGTCGTCATATTGGAATAGAGGAACTTTTCTTTTCTCTTTTTTTTTTCCTTGGGATTTTTGTATGAAGTATGACCATGGCTACAGGTGCGGGGCTCCACCTGGGTACGTTTTGATTTGAATGCGTGGGCCAGTGATCTTATGGGTGTATCTGTTTCTCCATTCTCATGGTGAGGCAGTCTTGCCGGGTATCCGGCGCCGGGTTCAGGGTGAAGAGGTTCCCCCTTCCTTCCAAATATCCTGCTCAGTCAATCCCCTGGATCCCAGGGTAATCAATGCTGGCAGGGACCCCCCCCCGTAACTGTTTTTCTTCTGATGTACTCTATATCCAATCTGTATATGGGACGCTGGACCCGTTTGCCAGCAGGTGATGCTCCCCACCAATAGATGGAGCATCTCCCCAGGTGCTAAAAAAANAAAAAAAAAAAAAAAAAAAAAAAAAAAAAAAAAAAAAAAGAGGCAGTCTTGCCGGACTGTCTTTCTCTTCTTTCTTTCCTCTTGCCTGATGTTATAGGCTGGAGACCAGTTGGTCCCTGGAACTCGATTAATGGGTCTTCACTGCTCTCCAGCCTATAAAAAGATGTTGTATAGCCTTGGGACTTGGGAAGTCATTCTTTCCTCTGATGGAAACTAGGCAAGGCCGTACTGTTGCATAACGACTTTGTCTTCAGATTGAGTGGTTGTTTTCTTTTGTACTATAGATTCAGTATAGAAGCTTTTGCGCCCTATTGTATATAGACTTCGCAGGCATAAAATTTTATGATGAACAGCCTGAGAGCTAGCACGTGCTGGCYCCCCGCCAATAGATCGGAGCTTTTCCAAAAAAAAAAAAAGAGAGCTAGACTTCGTCTTCAGAGGGAGAAGCCTCCCTCTTTTGTTTTCCAAAGATTTCTTCTGTCTGTTGTATATAGCTTTCTGCGGGTCTGGTTCTCTCGGGACCTGTTGTGATAAAGGCCTCACCTTGTACAGGGCGAGAGGTGGAATGCAAGGTGGCGTAGTAGGTGGTTGACAGGTGTTGCAAACGTCTCGGCAAGGCAAACGAATATCTTGGCCCTAGCAACGATCAAACGGGACCATCTAATTTTTTGTAAGGGATGCCAGGCCCGATTCCTGGCAATGCAATATAAAGGAAACTGGGCCCAGTTCCTGGTTTTGTTAAAAACAAAAGAGAAAAAAAAGAGAAAAAAAAGAGGGAAGGGAAATGCAATACTAAATGTGAATTGCAAAAAAGAAAAAGAAGTAATACAGCAGTAAGCTCAATCATGGACTAGCTAAGTGCCGGCGGTGCGGGCGGTGCGGGCGGTGCGGGCGGTGGGCGGTGTGGGCGGTGCGGGCAGTGCGGGCTACGCCCGCAGAAATAACAAATGCAGTTGGTGACCTCACACTGCATTTCGAATGGCTCGCCTCCAAGATGTTCGTCCGCAGAAACAACGACGACCTAGGGGGGGCACAAAACGACAGCTGCGCGAGAAATGAAAAAAGAAGGAAGAAAAAAAAAAAAAAAAAAAAAAAAGAGGGAACCCAAAACGACAGGCACGAGAAAGGAAAAAAGGAGAAGAGGGATACAAAACGACAGCCAACCGGGGGGAAAAAAAAAGAAAAAAAGAAAGCTCGCCTCCAAGATGTTCGTCCACATCAACGCCAGCCATGTGCCCCTCCCCCGGGGCGCGCGCTCTCGTTTAATGGCGCACTGTGAACATTTCCGTACGCGCGCACCCCTCTGCACACTCCCCTGCCCTCGATCGCCTTCATCCGCCGCCCCTCAGCAAAACTTCGACCCGAATCCGGCATGCAGCGCGTCATGGACCTGCCCCCTGCGGCCAATGCTGCTTAAGGGATAGGATATCCAAAGAGTCGCAAGGGCCCGTCCCTATAAACGGGCCTTGCTGCACTACTCACGAACTGAGCAAAATGAGAATGCATCTTAGGCGAGAACATGGGAAGACACAGCAACATATCTTTTGTCGTTTGTGCATCTGGTTAGTGGAGCGAGGCCCTATGTTGTTTTCACATAGTTTGCTTTCAGTCAATCATACAATGGCTGTCCCTTTTTTTTTTGGCTGGCTCGAAGCACCCATCTCATCTCAAGCCCTCTGCAACCCCCTCTCCCCCCTCCCTTCCTTTGCTTCTGAGTAGCCTGATGCTCCGCCATGACACTGACCCATCTGCATCCACCTTCTTACAATCTCCGTGCACCCTCCTCCCTCTATAGCCCCTCCCTCAACCCCTCCACCCCTGCTGCGCCCCCTTCACCCCTCTTCCCCCTCTCCCCCTCTCCCCCTCTCCCCCTCTCCCAAGTACGTTGAGGAAGCATACGGCTGGCCATAACATCTCCTATATATATATATATATATATATATATATATATATGTGATGGGGCGTGAACCGACAGTCTGTACAGTTTTCCATCTGGTGTGGGTGAGTGATAGTCTGCTTTGATTTCGTCACAGGTACCTTGAGGGCAGTGGTTGGTGCCCACCTCAGGGTATGACTTGTCGGTCAGTTGTTGATGCTTAACCACATCAGGGGTTAAGGTGGATTATCACTTACAGTGTAGTCAGTTAGGGGATTCTGCAGACTGTTGAGGGTTCAGCCTCCTGATGAGTCAGTGAAACTCTGTCAAAGAAACGAAAAAAACTAAAGATGACGATGAAGACGAGCACAATGGTTTCCTTGTCTATTCGTGTAACTCCATCACCATCACTATCCTCATCTTTTTTTTTTTTTCGTTTTTTTTTGAATTTTTTCCCATTTGGCGCATCAGGCCATCTTCATCTTTCATCTTTCATCGCCTTACCAACAACGCTTGCTGTGATTCATCTTTTTTTTCTTTTTCCTTTCTTTTTGTTTTGGCAGGCTGAGCTTGTTGCTGCGAACGGAGAAGTGAGTGCAATGCTGGAGGAGCGGGCGAGGGAGAGGATGACTACAGGCCCAGGAAATGCCAAGGGAGGAGCGGAGAAGGAGGTGCTCTATCGGCAGCAGGCACAGATGGCAGCGATGGTGGCCAAGAAGAAAGAGGCAGCGTTCATGAAACTGGAATCTTTGGCAGAGAGGAAGCGCGCATTGCTCAGGGAGATTGACCAACGGACAGCTGCCATGGACCAGGTACAGTGGTTTCGGGTCCAGGTACCCTTTTTTTTTTTTTTTTTTTGTTGAAAAACGATCAACTCATGTATTGCAAAAGTTCCATTGAGGCCGGGGACCTGACAATTCAACCCTGAGTTATCTTGGCAGCATCAGCCAGTTTAGCTTACAAGCAGTGCTCGACCCTACGCCGGGCCCACGGTGCCAACATCCAAAACAATTGAATCATCAATTCACAATTGAAAAAACACGTACAAATTTAAATGACAGTATGTTTTTTGTTTTGTTTTTTTGTTTTTTTTTGGGAACTGCATTTGTACCCCACTTAAAGATGGGAATACCCACTATACCCAGTCCCAGCGCCCAACTGGCATCTATACCTGGACCCCATTCAACTTTGCATAGTACCCAACTTTTCCACTGTGCGAAATTGTAGGAATACCCAGCCCCGCAGGCCCTGAGTTCCAGGGAACAAAATTATGGCCATGCCCAGAAACGGGATGTCAAAATTGCGGCTGTACCCACAGCCAGGGACAGGGCTTGGATGGCAACCACAAAATTATGCTCATGTGGAAATTATGCCCATGCCCAGAAATGAGCTGGCAAAATTGCGGGTGTTCCCACGGCCAGGGGCGGGCTTTGGATGGCAACCACAAAATTATGCTCATGCCCACCACGTGGACCCTTGTGGCCCAGCGGCTGCCGGGTATGAGCATAATTTCAGGCATTTGGTTGTAGGGTATATGAATAATTTGGCCAGTCCACCTCAGTCCCGGGTATGCCCATAATTTTGCATGGGTATGTCCATAATTTGTGCATTCCCGTAGTGGGCTTGGACTTGGTCAGCGGGTGGTGGTGGTCTTCATGCATGAGGGTGAAGACGTGGGTGAGAAAGTCGAGGGTGTGTGAGAGAAAGAGAAAGATGAAGTTGATGATGTGAGGGCACGTACCTGGTCTTGGCAATGGTCTACAAGGGTCAACATCTTCATGTACTTTGGTTTTGCTGCTGACATCAACGGGATGCATTGTCAATTTGTAGGCTGCTAGTAGCTGTGCAGTAGTAGTCGGGGCGCTGAGCGCCAAGGAGGAAGGACTCTGGATACTTATGTTCGTGGTGGCGAGACTACGCTCTCATTGACATTCATATTCAGTGCTTTGGTTCTCCGTTGGTGCAATATCAGTGCATTTCTGCTTTCTGGACAGTGTTGGACTCGCTGGCTTTCAATGTGATTTTGCATTCTGGATTTCTGTCATTTCGCTATCGCTCATTTTCCTTGCAATTTGGTATCGGAGCTGGTTCGAGCCGCTC